TTCAGAATCAAAAATGGACTATTCCATTATTGCAAGTGCAGTCTACAGTCAGAACAGGTCAGTTCCTGAACTGTGGAACCAGGACTGCCAAWGGCTCCTCTGCAGCAGGAAATGTCCACTGGGCTCCCTCACTATCACATAAATACACCAGTTACATGCAATTAAAATAACACATGGATCACACGAGGGTGAAAATGCACAGAATACATTGCTATGCTGGGGCACAGCAGGTTTTAAGCCTTCACTTCCCCAAACAACTTTCTCATATTCTAGAACTATGCAAAATACAAAACCCTTAGAAAAGTGCAACAAAACTAGCTTTATGACATTTTTCTTTCCATTTCCATAAATACAATCTCATAAAAATATTATTAAACAGAAGCATACTTCCCAGTGGAGAACTAACAGGCCACATTTCAGCTTTCAGTAAATGATTTTGCCTAAACTGAAAACCCCTGAAAATAGGGGATTAAAATGAAACCAGCTTAATTGCATCAGGCTGCTGTAATATTCTGCCAAAAGTTTYCCCTACTGCTCTGCATCCCCAGGTCCTGCTGGAACTGATGGGAACTTGATGTGCAACTCTGAGCCAGACAGTGGCCTACRAGCAAGCTGGAAGGAAGTCATCTGGTATTCATAGGTTTTACTAGAGTTTCACTGTGAGGAAATAAYTGTAATATCACAGAATTAATTAACTCAAGGAGATTAGGACGGTGACTTTGTCAACCAAGTTCAAGGGTGCTGCATCCAAACAACTGGCAAGTGTAGCAAAAACACAAGGGAAAAAAGACACTCGTAACAATTAACAGAAATCAGAATTGTACAAACCTCGACCTTTTAAGTTATTTAGCATTAATTATCCAAAGCATACTTGCTACATATTCCAGATGCTTAACATCTTGGGTTTGATAATTACAGAGTGACTACAACACTGATTCTGAAATGAGGGAATGCAACAGAAGAAACATAGAGGAGGAGGGACACAGCAAGCCACACAGTAATTTAAAACCCATCCAGCCATTCTCCTGTGAAAGCAGAAACACTATTAAAAATACCTTTCTAAATAGGGACAATTAAATGTATTAAGAGATGTCTGTGTTTTGCCAGTCCACACACACTAACTTGGGAAAGCACAATGGCATGTCCAGCACTCATGGATGATGAAGACACTTTAATAGCAATTCTCACCAAATGATTTCTCAAACTGGTTAATATTAGCTTAAAGAAAGGGATACACTAATGGTAATTAGCTTAAAGAAAGGAATTGCAGAAATAGAGCTTGGAAGAAAATAAAAATAAAACTRAAATAAATATTTACCAAGTCAAGGGAAGGACCACAAACAAACTACACAGTTAACTCAGTCCATACGTGAACATGACTGTTTGAAGGTCCTCTAGGCCAACTCAGGATAACYCACAATGGGCAAAAAATAGCCTGAAGGTGTAAAACTGCATTCCTTCCCAGAAGAATTTTGCCCCTTAGCAGCTCCTGCTTGTGGCTGTGTTAGTTGCAAGAGGCAAACAAGAAGTCAGGTCACCACAGGAGTCCCAGGAACAGTTTAAAGGTGTAACTGCATCACTTCAGCCAGCCCGGGGCAGCTTTGGAAGGAGCTCTCACACACCACCTGAACACCAGGCAGCCTCCCCAAACCAGGCACAGGCAGTAAGAACAACACCCACAAGTTCTCCAAATCTCCAACTTCCCAAATAATCTTGGTTAAAACTAGGTTGGAATAAAAACTGTGCCCTGGGCCAAATCTGTACAGAAATAGAATTGAGCGAAAGCTATTTTTTGGTGATGCAAAAGAATCCAAATGTCTGAAGTGCTGAAACGGAAAAAATAACTAAAAACTTAACACTGAGATCAGAAACAGAAATGAGACTCCAATGTCACAGCTACACGATCCACAAGGCAGATCCTCAGCAGCTTAAACCACTGTCCTGCACCATTACAGGAGGGGTGCAATTTATTTCTCCTCATGCACATAAAACCAGAGCACCACTGCTGCCAGGGACATTAACAGGAATTTACACCAATAAATTAAAGTAGAGTTCATTTAGCTCTGGCAAATTTAGGGGATCCTAAGAYACAATGATAGACTTTACAGAAAAACACAAACAGTTGAAATATGTCATAAAATTGGAGACAAAAAATTATCAGAAACATTACATGTAAATCAAAGAATATATTTTATGCAAGGAGACAAAAATCTATTTAAAATGAGAATGTATCATAATTATATATTGGATAATAATCTAGTCACCAACACAAATTTAAAAAGGAAAATTTCACTCAGTTTTTCAGAGGCATGGCAATAAGAKGTCTTTTGTAAGGGCCAGAGTTTCACACATTGGAGATACTAAATTAGTGTTTCTATTTAAATAGACAACAAAATCAAACTGGATTAAATGAAACCAACTGAAAAGCAAAGCAAGTGTTACAGCTACAGAAGTGTTTCCATTAACAGGGTCCAGAGGATGACAGCTGTACCTGCATCAGGATGTCCCAYAGCTCCATTTTGTTGCCTACAGCTGGCCATGAGTAACCCAGATACTACAGCTCAGGCATTTGCAAGGCACATAGTAAAATACAAATGGATGACCAAATATTTTTAGTACATTCAGAACTATTTTATGGATTAAAAGGAAAGTAAAACAGAATAAACTTGTACTTCACATGAACAAAAAAACAGGCTGTTTCAGGATTAACTATGAAAAAAACCCAAGCACAACAGYATATTCCACATCCAGGAGGGTTACAGCTATTTTCCCTCTTGAACAACTGAATGTGGTTTGAACCTTCAGAAAAATCCCATTGTAGAGGGCAGCAGGCCATTGTGTTTGCRTTGGATCTTCCATTGCTTCGTTCCTTCCACTCAGCAGCTGAGCAGCACCTCATATGTAAAGGCTCAGATACATCAGTACACAAAAAACTCTTCATGAAGCCCAGAGTTGCTGGGCTGGATTCACAGAGGTTTATCAGACARATCACACCAGGAAGAAGTTTACAGAGCTCTGAAGTTTGTGAAAAGATCACTTTTATAATTACTCTAGTTTTTTTCTCTCTTCCTTTCTGAAGACCAGCAGCTCATCTTTTTAACAAGAAAGGATCTGGCAAAGATGATTTCTCCTTTGACAAATGGTTACACTCTCAATGTTACTGCAGTTAAGGACTCCGACAACATTCCAGGTAAACCAAGATGACCATTGGACAGAAAAAAAATCAACTCTAAGCTYGAATTACCTCACCAAAACACGTCATGAGTGAATTTGGATCAAGAAATACTATCCTTTTCATTACAAAAATATTTTTTTAGATCTAAGGCAATGAATAAGACAATCATAGATAAGGATATCTGTTCAGAGGAAAAATAGAAGGGGGTTTTAGACACTAATTGGCAAAATCTGGAATTTAGTAGTAGGAGATGGAATGCAAGACAGCAGTAATGTGTGTTTCCAGTAAAACTATTCCTATTGAAACTTAAGAAATGAAGTTAAAAAAAAGTTTGAAGAAATATAGAGGAGAGGAAAATGCATTTCAGACTTTTATTAAAATCTATTAATGAAGGCTTTTCACTTGAAACCTCTCTTGCAACTATTGGCTTTAGATTACGCTGGCTCTTCAAAAGCACCAGTTAATAATCTGAGGGTATCTACTTCTAGTTCTAAAGAGCTGTAAGAATGTTTGAGACACTGCTGCTCTGAAAACTYCTCCAAAGGCCCTCAACATGGGTTAAGTAATTATTTTGCAAAATTCCATAATTCTCACAGGCACATATCAGTGTGTGTATTCTTATACAATGCTAAAAACATGCTGAATTATTACTCTTCACGTGGGCTGTGTTCTTCAGATGATGGGGGTCTGGGATTTGGCAATAGTTTTGAGTTAAATCTGTGCTTTTATACCATGAAGAAGTTTCACAGAYGCCAAGCACAGTTGCATTCACTGGGTTAACATCTATGACATTCAAACTGTCCTTAACAGTCGTAGGAGCACCATAGAACAGATTTATTTTCTTTACAACGGGGTTACTGCGCTGAAAGAGCCTGTGCTTATAAATAGCAGCTGTTACAGAACTCACTGCTCAAGTTGGCTTCTGCTTAATATTAATGAGATGTTCTGTGGCTGAGCTGCTGATAAGTGTTCAGAAAAGCAAGAGGCAGAAGCAATGACAGAGTGAAGTCTCCCCCCYGATTTGACAAACAAGATTACAACAAACAGCTCATGACAAATGGAGCCATGAAATCGTTGKGAGCCATTAACATTCCACACCAGGCCCTGAAGTGCCAGGACGTATCAACTCAATGATCGCTAAGGCACTTAAACTCTTTTGCCCAAGAGCTGCTAAATGAATTCAGGTACATTTTAGGAAAAAAAGAAGTTGAGCAGACTAAAGTTTCTCAATTCCTTCCTTGTGACAGTGAGTCATTTCCACACAATATTTGAGACTACTGGGTGTGCACACATTACATCAGTTCCTCCATAGTCCTCCTCAGGGAACATCTCACCTTCTGTCACTCAGATGAGGATGTGCAAGACCAATGAAAAACATAYAGAAAACATGGCAAAGTTGAATTTTGAGACAACCTACTTCATTATTACATCTTATTGAGAATATCTTCTCTGCAGAGGAAATGYTATCCCAGTTCCAAACTTCTACCACAGATAGCCACRACGTGTGCTCGTATTGCTGTAGAGRAAAGCCCGGGGTAGCTGCGTGCGCTGCACAGGCAAAGGAAGAAGAGAGGAAAGACCAAGCCAGGCAAGGGGTGATAATTGATTCATTTCTGTTAGAATGGAAGCACAGGGAGTTTGCACAGATTCCTTGGAGTACAGTGTACCCTGAAAGCCAGGAGCTGCATGTGCTAGTCTTTACAATCCATAAGATAAAGATGAAAGCCACATCACTGTGACAGAGGTAGGCTTATAATGAAGCTTTAGAATGAAGACTTCTTCTGTGCCAGATTTTTTGAGGTATCAAGAGCACTTTTCCCCTCAATTTGTCATCATGGAATCAAAGCTTGTTTTCTTAGAATATTGTGCACATTTTAAAGGATGGAAAATAGCTGTATAGGCAGTAACTAAGTTACCATTAAGAACTCTACTGTATTGGGCTGCCATTTGCTGTGGATAGAATATTCAGAGTCTGTGGAATCAGGATGCTACAGGAAGTTCAGTAATATGATGCCATGTTATCCTTTTCCTTCTCAAAGCTTTATCTGTACATTCAGTCTCCTATTTGCTAGGGGGAAGCATTCATATCACTCTCCCAGGGAAGAAAGTTTCAGGAAGTCTGACTGGAAAGGCAGCACAAAAGTAGTCCAGGCTCTATAGGCTACATAATTAATCTGAATAGCTTAATAACTTGGGTTACTCCAAGCACTGTGGCAACAAGTTCTTGCTTTTAAACAATTGTTTCCAGGCTTAGTAGCTGAAGCAATCTGAGGCAATCCAGGGTAGTGTCACTGAAGTTTGAGGGGACTCAAATGTTGCCAGTTTTCAGTGAAATGGGGATTAGCATTTCAGGATGATTTCCATCTGGTAGCTCACATCGGTTGTATCCCATGGATCTGTCGAATGATTAGGGTTCAGGTTTCAAAGTATTTGTAAATTGCTGTAACATACAGCATGACATTCTGCCAGTCTGGACGCTCAGTTCGCACCATTTCATTGATGTCCTGTCACAGAAAACAGATTGGTCAAAATCAGGAATGAAAACCCTGAGAGCAATGTGGCAGTGTTTTCACACGTTCCTGGGAATGGTAAATCTGTCAAGTTTCCACAATTTAAAACACTGATGAAGAAAGCTCTGTTTGCATCCATATATCTTGGTATTACTTACAAAATGTAATTAATAGCATATCTGTAGGTAGTTCTTTTGTTGATTTAAGATTGAAATGTCTGATGCTGTGCATGCTCAAGCTGTCTCCCACTGAGCACAGCTGGTACAATAGTCAGACTTTAAAGTTCACATAGCCCTCCACAAGCCTTACAAATTAACACAAACCTACCCAGGAACTGTGAGCCATGGAATCAAGGCCCAGATATCAATTAAAGCTCAAAATTCCCATCAGGTTAAGCRTCAGTAACTAAGGGAATCCCATCTGCCCTCTTCAGCACATGTACAAAGCAAAACAGAGTGACGAAGTTTCTAGGAATTTCTGTTTACTGTAAGGCTCTATTTCAAAGCTTTAGGTGCAGGAATGTCCAGAACTCAGAAAAGAGAAAATGGCGAGGTTTTACAGCTGAACACTTTCTTCTTCAGAGAATGATCAAATTTTCCTTGCAATCCACTCCTATTTACATACAGGAGCTTTCACACCTCCCCTTACCTTCTACCCATATAATATGGATGAGAAAAAATTTCTACAAACATACACATGACACACATTGTGCATGGAGGTATGTAAATAGATACTAACTTCCTAAGATGGATACAATTTGCACTTAGACTTTATTCCATTCAATTTGCCTGTTGAGAGTATCTGCAATGAAGTCCATCACAAAAAGGAAGGACAGACAGCAACCATTTCAACTAAGGCTGAATTATGCAAGAATTTCTGCAGTTATTTTCCACGATCTCATTCTTACATCAGCACTTGGTAAGAAACTTCCACATTTCAAATCCCTGCCAAAGTCAAAGTACGAAAGCCCAGGAGTTGCACTGCTATTGTCAGCAAACACAATGCTTGTGGGGGTAAAAGCACTGATAAGGATCAAGGAAAGTGTTATTTTTAAAAACTCTGTTGTATTGTTAGTTGCTAACTATGGCAGCTTTGTTACAATGTAGGTTGCAAAAGTATCACTTAAGTATCATTTCTSATAATGGCAATTTCAGCTGAATTTCTGCGATCACTCACAAGGGTTTGGGATACTCCCAATTCCACACCTTCAGAAATACTCCTTTTCTAGTAACTAGTAAGAGTTTTCTAGTAACAGTTTCAACTATACTGTTGAAACTAATTATTTCACTCTAGAAGTCGTGTAAGACAACTTATAAACAATCACTGGAGAAAYGCTTACAACTACTTGCAATGATGACAAATTAAAAATCTAAACTTAAGCAACTCTCGACTCTCAAACTACACTGATCAAAGGAACAAATGCCATTGCTTGATTTGTTGCTCCAGAGTTCCAAAAATCCCAAATACTTTAAAAGTAGGTCAGAGACAGGACAGATTTAATGGATTCTTGAAAATTGTATCCCATAACTATTTCTGAAATTATTCTCAAACAAATCCATTGCCTTTATTAATATTTCTTTTGATACTGAGAGATTAGTGCTGGTGAACCTTCCATTTAGAGCTTAACAGGTCTTTATTTCAGTCATTAAGTAGAGCTCATCTGCTGCTATTTTTAAGTATAAACAACCAAATCTTTAGAGAGTACAAAATAGAGTAATTTTGATTTTTATATGTGGGTCATAATTCATTCAATATGCATTTAAATCTTACCAGAGTAGATTTGATGCCAACACTTTCAGCTGCCTGAAAAGCCAAAGTGAAATTTCTTCTCTGTGTGAGACATAAAAACATGTTAGAGAACAAGGAAATACTATTTCAAACMCAGCAAACTGGTGTTAAGAATGTTCATAATAATGCTACTACTCTTGCTTCAAATGGAGTCTATAATTTGACTAAAGTTATTTAAAAAGCCATAGGAATGAATGTGTTCTAATATAATCCAAATATTTATGAAAATTTTTATTTATCATTAGAAGATTATGCTGAATGTCATTGTCAGCAAAGAGCAAGTGAGTTACAGAATACTAAAGAACAGATTATTTATTCTTTAAAAAGCAGAAATAAAAAAATCTCTTCATGCATTAATGAAATACTTTTATGTTTTTAGGATGTATTATCATTAATTGAACATCCTGGGCTAATACACCAGTAGGTAGGAACTGTGGCAGACCAGAATTCACAGAGATAACTTGGAAATCCTAGTAACACTGGAATTTTTGAGAACTCAAACAAGTTYATTCTTCTTTATTAACTCATATTAACTAAATCATTGCAGTCCTGGGAATGGGATTTTTAATGCCTTACCTTGTCCTGGCTGTTCAGTTCTTGATAGGGAATATGAGCTGGGAGATAAGTGTGGAGAACTGCACAGAAAGCCAGGCCATCATTCCAGCTGCTGCTGAAGTTTGTGATGTCAATATTCTTGAAGAGAAAAAAATACAAGCCATATTAAAATTGTAATCCAACAAATATTAGATTCAGTAGCTACCAATTAATCAATAATTCTTTTTAATACCTTTGAAGAAATTGGCAGAGAATATGGACAACCCAATACCAAAGTTCTGTAATAAGAACTGCATTACTAAGAGAGGAAAATTTAAAAATACACTGGTAAGAAAGTTATTTTACATATTAATTTCAGGTAATATTAAGCCCTCCCTCAAAAAAAGCACAAAATGTGTATCTGAGTGTGTGTTAAAAACTATAAAATGTTGTGCCAGAGAGGGTAAGAGAATAGATTCAGTGCAAGTGTACACCCCAAGATAGAAAAGTGAGCAAGTTAAAYACATGTACCCCAAATCCCTGATCAGACAGTGTGCTCAAATCTCTGCTAATGCTCATTCTATTTCCTGCTTCTACTACATTCATACCCAGACAAAATTTCTAAGTGATGAGGACAAGTATTTTCTCTTCTAAACAAACCATTTCTCTATAGAAACTGATGTGAAAAAGATCACAAACAAAAGTTAWCTTTCATTTGGAAATCAAGATGTTCCAGCAGATTTAGTGCTGACACTAGCAGAGAATCTTTGGGATTGAAACTGAAATTGAAAACTGCTGTCTTGCACTCTTGATCTTTTAGTTCCCGAAGGAAACTCAGTGGCAYTGGTAAATGCCTCTCCTGAGACTGTATAAATTATTGTAGAGACAGCCCAGTCCAAAAGAGTTATGAACAAGATGCCTCAGTGACCTTTTAAATGACTGTATATTTGGCTGTTGGCAGTCAAACAATGTTAGAGAGGCTAAGTGGATAGCAGTCAGTTTAAACTTTAATTAGGAAACAACCAGTAACAACAATATATCATATATCTCTTACACTTTCATGGAGAAACATAAAAATGATTTAATATCTAACTCACTTTACTGGGCTCAAGCAGAAGCCAACCAGCTCCATTCCTTAGTTTTCAAAGTTTTAACAGCAAGAACCAAAACCTCCARTCTGAGAAGTGCAGAATCACAACTACTTGAGCCAACCAAACTCTCACCTGACAGCAATTTAGTCATCATGATCATCATCTGCCTTTGACAAGACAGTAAAACGTGAAATTCCTGAGGCAGAAAACCAACCAGGGCCATGTTCTGTGCCAGGCAGGGAATGACAGCACTCCTTGACAAACCAACGCTTTGGACTTCAAATGAACAACAACCACAATCTCCTCCAACAGAGGAAAAAAACAAAACTCTGGGCAATTTCTAGAAGAATGCGAGGGAAATCTGGGTTTCCTGCTGAGCTTTAGCACTTTTGATGCGAAGTGGCCCCAGTGCAGGTCCAGGCTCTGATGTCAGTGTACGTGCTGGGGCTCACAGTGCCCGGGGCCGGAGCCTGCACGAGGAAACGGCGGCGCTGGAGACCCCCAGACTGTGGGAACAGCTCCACACACAGCTTCCTCCAGCCACAGGGTGGGAAAATTTAAAAGCAAAAGGGAGAAAAAAAA